GCCGAATGATCCACCGGCTTTCTCAAAAAGTTCAAACTAGTAGCGACCACCCACCATAAATGTACATGTGACCCATCGGGGCAGCCAGCCAACCCACCTAGACATTCGTTGTGCAGTGTTCGACCACGTTAAGTAGCATACGACCTACCCCCCCCCCTTTGCGCTACTGCTTCCTTGAATACCGATGCTGATAATGCCTCAGCAACAAGCTGGGCGTCCACGGGTTCGCCGACTCGGTGGTTACCAAGGACAGCCAAGAGCTCATCATCGTCGAAGCCAAGCGTCAGGCAATTCCTACTCGTCGGGCCAAGCACAGCTGCTCCTGGCAGCGTAGATGGCGCTTGAGAGAAAGCTTCAGCAGAATTCCTCCGACGGTACATGCGTCTACGGACTCCTCATCGGCCCGTTGGCGTGGATATGGGTGTACCTGGACAGCAAGGAGGGGCGCTTCTGCCGGACATTGCTTCAGCCGGACGACCTACAGCCAAGTATCTACATGATGGTGACGATCGCGCGTGCAATCATGTGGGAAAGTCTCATTATCAAGACTTCGCAGCAGTTGCGAACAAGGACCATTTACATCGCGCACGTGCACCGCAGCGGTGTAGACATGAAGCAACGCTGGATCTCCCAAGGATTATGATACATCAATCGCCCACCATGCTGATCCATGCTGGATTGGAGGTCTGGTCGGATGAAACAGCAGGGTCTACAAAATCGATTCATTACACTGCCCCATGATTCGCTAACAACCTCAAACATCATTTTTAGCGATCTGTGTCTATTCGAATCAAGTTTTAACCATCACACCGCGTTCTTCTTCGTCATGCGTCGTTGCGTCTTTAGAGATGGAGAGAATCGGAAGCGGTCCGCTGGAGACACTGGCTACTTCACACCGCTGCGGTGTGTTATACTCCTCTCGAGTTCTGAGCAGCTGCTTACCTTCGTGTCATACTGGATACTACAACTGTTACTAGCGTTAGCACTGTAGAAACAGTTTAGAACGTATCATTTTTAACTGAATAACGCTCGTTACATAGTCCTTATTTTTTATGCTTATTGGTCATCTACAGGCCACTTCAAAAGTGAAAAAATCTTGACAATTCCTGTATTAATTTTGTCAAACTTCAACGCCACGCTTGCCGCACGACATGGACTTGCTCGTTGGCGCGATACTTCGATACCGGGGCGCGAGCTGCCCCCATAGTAGGAAATAGAAGTAGTTGAATGCGAGCGCGACTGCGGTTGAGTGTCGCCCGCTGGAAGCCGTCTGATGCAATCCCTCATAACACCCCACACAGGATAGAGGTAAAACAAAATAGTATCATTTCCATATTTAGGGCTATATTCATAATCACTACTCAGTATTAATGTATTTCCCTTCTAGACAGCTCATGGGTGAAGATACTGAGTTGTGACCACATTGGTAGCATAAACGATGCATATTCAACACCGGAAATGTCTTTCTCTACACACCATTGCGGGCATGGACTTCAAAGGGTAAAAACGCTTTGACGTTCTGTGTGGGTGGTCGGGTCGGACTTGTACGCCGAATGATCCACCGGCTTTCTCAAAAAAGTTCAAACTAGTAGCGACCACCCACCATAAATGTACATGTGACCCATCGGGGCAGCCAGCCAACCCACCTAGACATTCGTTGTGCAGTGTTCGACCACGTTAAGTAGCATACGACCTACCCCCCCCCCCTTTGCGCTACTGCTTCCTTGAATACCGATGCTGATAATGCCTCAGCAACAAGCTGGGCGTCCACGGGTTCGCCGACTCGGTGGTTACCAAGGACAGCCAAGAGCTCATCATCGTCGAAGCCAAGCGTCAGGCAATTCCTACTCGTCGGGCCAAGCACAGCTGCTCCTGGCAGCGTAGATGGCGCTTGAGAGAAAGCTTCAGCAGAATTCCTCCGACGGTACATGCGTCTACGGACTCCTCATCGGCCCGTTGGCGTGGATATGGGTGTACCTGGACAGCAAGGAGGGGCGCTTCTGCCGGACATTGCTTCAGCCGGACGACCTACAGCCAAGTATCTACATGATGGTGACGATCGCGCGTGCAATCATGTGGGAAAGTCTCATTATCAAGACTTCGCAGCAGTTGCGAACAAGGACCATTTACATCGCGCACGTGCACCGCAGCGGTGTAGACATGAAGCAACGCTGGATCTCCCAAGGATTATGATACATCAATCGCCCACCATGCTGATCCATGCTGGA